TTTCAAGTTGAACAAGATTACGTATTTCCATATATTCATAACTTTTTTGAGTTTTTTATCCAAGTAAAATTTTTTAAGTATGCATAAAATAATTTCCATAACAAAATTAAGCAAATGCTAAGTCATTTCAAAAATTAAGTTTTCATATATTAATTATAAGCAAGTGCCAATTTTTAAAAATCTTATTTTATAAAATGATGCAACAAGAACAATTTTTTAAATAATTGAAACTACTTGAAGGTTAGTTCATTCTAAAGTAAATACAATTGCTTAAAAATGTTCAACTTGTTGGCAATAACTTAGAGAGAATACTCTGAAAAAAAGTAGAAAAAGATTAAAGTATAATTGAACTAATTAAAAATGCAAGACTGATAAGCAATTAAACTAATAAACAACAAGGAATGTGAAAAATAAAAATAAAATAAAAAGATTGGAAAAAAATTAAAAAAAATTTATGGATTGAAATTTTTTTCAAACAACTGTGCAGAGAAAAAAAAATTAAATTATTATTTTTATTCGAACATTAAAAGCAGAAATATATATATATATATATATATATTCTAGTGTAAAAGTGGTTGGCATAATACTCTAATACTGACAGCGAGCTTAGTAGCTTTCAGAATTATTCACGGAATCATTCCGTCAGTGCAAGTATACATCATCTTAAAGTGAAGCTAACATGAAATCACGATCACGCGATTTCATGTTAGCTTCACTTTAAGATGATGTATACGTAAGTATATGCTGTAAAAAAGTTACGAGCACTCTTCAAATTTCTTTCTTCTGTTAGCAGCAATGAATTTTTTTAATTACAAAATTTTCTTCTATATTATAAATTAGTTCATCTCTTCTCAAAATATGATTTCAACTAAAGCATTCTTTGCAAATAATTTGTACATAGCAATTTTGCTCCGTGAATTATCTGAAGTATATTCTATCTAAGCTCTATTAATTCCTTCTGTTTCAATTTGATTTCTCAAATTGTTCCATCTCGAAAATAATATTCGAAATTGTAATATTTTACTAGCAGTTGCCATGTTTCATTTTTTAGTACATTACAGTTAAATTACTCAGACAATACAAAAAAGGACATTTTTGTGCATAAACGTGGATAAATTCATAACTGCGAACTGCCTTATAACATTACTACTAATTATTAAAATTAATTAATTTTTATATACAAACTAAATTCATAATAATTTTTTATGTACCAATTCTTTTGCAATGTCTTAAATACTTTTTCTGATTAAATTTTTAAAGTACTTATTGCATTTATCAAGTTTCAAAATTTTTTAAAGATATTACATCAAATATTTTACGTCAGAAAGTTTTTTCAATTGCGCATTACATCCACTAAGTTTTTTTTCTTTTTGCATGGAATTATTTTATGTTGTCTTGAGTTTTCATATTTAAATTCTATCATATATTTATTTACACTGCTGAAAATATTTTATATCTAGATCTATCAGTATGATAAAGTTACATTTGCACAGTTACTATTGAGCTGATAAAATTTTTCACTTGTACAGTTTTTTCATATTTTTACTTGTACAGTTTTTTTGCACAGTTTTTTCATCGAAAAAGCATTCATACGCTTATTTTTTTAAACAGCATATATGGAAGAATTTTTTTCAATTGCTTGTTTATTTTGATACCACAATTTATTTGTTAAGAAACAATCTTGCATAGATTAATGTTATCTAACATGCTATCAACAACTAAATATTCTCCATAAATCATTTTAAAAATAAGCAATAAAATTAAAATATTAAAACATCTCAAAATAAAGTCAAAAAGACTGGATAAAATAGCAAGATGTAGGTGTATTACGAAGGTTGTTTAAAAATCCAAAATCTGCTATGTTTAGCTACAAAAAAAATCCAGTCTTTTTGACTATAACATGAAATGAATTAAATATCAGTCTCAGATTATTCCTCATTAATAAGTACTACTTTGATCTTTTCTAACCCAAAATAATGAATTTGTAGAAAGGTATTCATGACTATCCTAAAATTAAACAGTATGTTATTTTATTCTATCCTTATTTAAAATACTTTCTTACAAAAATGCCCAACACTGTTTATTGGTTTTACTATAACTGAAGATCAAGGTTTCTAACAATTAATCTAATTTTTTTCACTTTAATTAATTTTCAAAATGAGAAGTCGTTGATTATGAAGTTTACAACCTTTATTAATGGATTATTATTTCGATTGATTTTGAAAAATATTTCAATAGCTTTAATTTCGAACATCTTTTTACTTTTTAGAAAAGTTAAATTTTAGATTCAAGAGAATTTTTATGAGCAAATTACGCTCACATCAACAATTAAATAAAAAATGACAATAAAAATGAGATGATATTTAATCAAGCTTGGTCCTTCGCATTATTAACGCTTCTACTTTTCACGTTAATGCGACGTAAGGACAAAACGAAATGAGATTTGGACATGTTATTTTACACTGATAAAAAATATTTTATATGCAAATTTGATTATTACAACTAATTTTTTATCCTCACTATGGTTTGATTATTATTTTAATTAATTATTTCTCAATATTTTATTGAAGAAAAAAATTATTAAATGATTTTTTCACTACAGTGCGCAAGAATAATTTAAATAGTCTATCGTTAACATTTAGTTGCAATACTTTTTGATATTGACACAGCAGTTAAAAATGCAACTTACTAGCAGCTATTTTTTCAAGTTTATTTCTATTCACTGAAGACTTTTGTATTCAAGAGAAATTAATAATAGAATATGAATGTTTGATTTCTAATATGAGTCTGAAGGATTTCATACAATTGGTATAAGTAAATAAGACTTAAAGCTTTAATTGTCATCATCAATTTTTATATCATACAGATTTTTCGAGCATTAATTAATTTTTGATTCAGTTTTAGTGCTAAATAAAGATTTAATTAATTTCCTTTTTTTTTCAAATATAATTGGGATTTCATGTGACATAAACATTAAAAAAAGAGTTGATAATCATTAAATCTTCAGCAATTAATTTATATTGTTATCATCCACATTCTAGTGAAGAATTCCATTCAACGTTAAAATGTCTAGCAATAATTGAGCGACGACACCGTGAAGCCTTGAAAAAATTAAATAAATGTGGATGATAACAATATTTGCATAACAAAAACTAATTTTGATAACGATGTTTGCAAATACAATGCGTCAACTTCCAACTAGCTTGAGACTTCGGGCACTAATAAAATCGAAATTCCCACAAAATTAAAAACACAATCTAAATGCCAATTTAATATCATGATTTTGAGAAAACCATCATAAATTCTAAAGCTTTATTCTGATGATGTTTCACTTTCATATAATATCAAAAGAAATATTACCGCCTTCATCGACACCAACTATAAAATTCTCACCTCAGTGCAATAAGAAAGCACTGAATATAAGTTTCGTGAACCAGTTTGTTCGACACAAACCATGTAGTCTATCGAAAAAAATCATTCAAACTATAAAACAATATACAACACGCTTCATTTCCATCTCTTCCAGCACGACCGCTTTCCTACAATAAATTTCAGACCGTGAAAAAACACAAAAGCATAACTGAATTACATTCAATATATCATTCAAGTGTTAAACTAGTACTACTAAATGATTATTTCAGTAACTTTAACTGAATATCAAGAAAAAACCTGATAATAATTTTCTAACGATTTTGGTATGAGATGATGTATAATAAAACGTACACAGGCTTGTCGATACGCATACCTTAATAACATTTATTTGAACTTAAAAGTCATAAGTAAGACAACTGTTTGCATCAAAAAAGTGTATAAGACGACAAATGACTGAACACAAAAATCAAAATCTCACCAAATGCGATAGGAGCAACAATAATAATGATTGTTCTACTTAGCCACTTTTTATGTGTGGAACTTCTCTGCTGACTATCCATGAAAGCATGATAATATGCAGCTTTGATACCTTTGCTACTACAATGGAAGTAAAATATATTTCATAAGTAACAAACAGAGCGCATAATTTCAAACAATTCAAACAGGGAACGGATAAAATTTTGCAAATATATAAAACTAACTATGAATTAGAATATATTATTTTCATTTCTTCATATAATGATTCGAATCCTGTTTTAAATCTCACATACATGAAATTCGAATAGCATTAGTTAGAATTGGAATAAGTCCATAGAATTTGTCAATGTTGTACATCAGACCGAACCACATTCATTAAAAAATCATCGCAAATAATCCGTGAGTTCTTCACAATCTTTAAGTGATAAACTATAAATAATTTCACTGAGTTTAGCAAATCGAGTTTTCAGCATTTTCATTAGAACATTTTTAAATTCGACATTTGATAAAGGTTTCTGTAGCACACTATAATGCAATTTAGGTCGATTGAAGCTTGCACGAAAGCTTCTGAAATGATAGTTACTTAACAGCTTCTGAAATGATAGTTACTTTACAGAAAAAATACGAATATACGAAATCAATCACTTGAAGGCAAATTTTTAAAAAACCAACGGGAATGAAACAAAATATTACCAGCAAACTTTATATTATGTAATATAATATCATTATTAAACTGAATATTTTTCTTACAATACATCAGCGAAATCAAAATTGAACGAAATCTAGGATTTCGAGCATGTTCCTTACATCATCGATCACGTCATCAGTAGCCGTAGCAGTTAAACTGAGTAAAGGTACACCACGAAACTGACACTTTAAGACTTTTAGAAATTTAAGATCTGATCGGAAATATGTCCCCATTTTGAGCAGCATTGCACTTTATCGATAGCAATTAACTGAAATCTATAAATAATTTGTACTTCAGACAATGAATAAAAATTTTCAATTTACACTATTATGAGTTTCGAAGACGAGCACGCGCCGATGACAAATTCATATAAAACTTCTTAACAAATTTCTATGAGAATAATTATGAAGCTGCTGAAAATATCATATTAGAAGTTATTAAAAAGCATACGAAAATCTATTAATAGTAATTTTTAGAAATCAGAATGTAAATTTAGTACACATCATCATCTGTTGAATGAATTTCCAACGAAATCTTACTTTTGTTAAGGATCAGTTGCGCGTTTGATCAGCTAAACAACACATGTAAGGAGATCAGCCTAAAAACAAAAAGTTCTATTTCAAATAGAATTACTGCTGATTAATGGCTTACTCTTAATCAATCTTTGCAGCCCATTCCAATCGATTCATAATTCGTTTACTTTTAGCCAATTTTTCTGCTGTAACATACACAAACGTAGGGATGCCTCTGGATCAGTGAGTACAACTTGAATTCCATTCACCTAATGAAAAGCATAATTAATACTATTAATGATTATATCAAGTGCTGATTAACAAAGGTAATAATACAACCAAACTGAAGTAAAAAAAGGAGGTTTGAAACAAATGTGTTATCAAATAATTTTCACAAATCGTCTGCAAGCTGAAATACAACTTGGCGTATGTTTCCGCACCACTTCGTGAACAAAAATTCCTCTTGTTCAAATAATTGTTTTCAATTCCACTAGATAGTCGTAATAATAGACTACTATTATCATGTCACAATTTCGATACTCAATGCGATAAGGAAAAAAATTTTTAACAATTATAAGCTGCACTTTCTGGTAACACAATGAATGAAGTTATTCTTAAGAGTGAAAAAATTAGCTATTAGATGCGGAACCAACAACTCCCAAGCAAAACCTGACTAACTCTTAGCATGAGCCCGCAAAATGGAGACAAAATTGGTACCAAGTCATTTTAGCTTTGATTGAAAATGATAATATTATACCATGAAATCTCTATTTTTCTACATATAACGGCATATTTGCAATTATAAAGTTTGTTAAGATTCTCATAAAAAAGTTAACTAACGTTAAAATCTATGCAAAAAAAAACTAGAAAACACTATAAAGTATACGATACCTATTTTTCGATAAAACAGATTTTAAGCCACAAACTTTTGAAAAGTTCAATCCAACATTATTTTTCCTTTCCAAATGGCTTAAAAAAAGAAGCATTCCCATAAAAACAGAATTAAATAAAGACTTAAAAAAACTAACTGATCATCAAATTTAAAGTTTTATATCTAATACCGGTTACGAAAAGTGATTTATCGCATGATTTCCTTCTAAAAAACTGTATATCTTTCGAAATATAGGTTTTTACGTACAATGGTGAAACTTTTGCATAAGAAATTACTTAATTTTTAGGTGTCCACTGGTTGAGAGCAGCTGCATCAATACCTAACTTGTTCAGCTGATGCAACTGATCTTCAACAAAAGCGACCAACGGTGATACAACTAATACAATACCTGTAAAAGGTATTAAGTAAGTTTAAAACCAAAGAATGTGTTAAAAACCGAATCTCAGCAATACAAACTCTCAAACCTTTCATAACAACAGCAGGTAACTGGTAACAAAGACTTTTGCCACTCCCAGTACTCATCACGACTAAACAATCTTTTTTCGATAGTACCGCATTGATGACAGCTCTAAAGCAAAAAGCATTCAACTAATTACTTTTGAAACTTTTAACACAGCATTTTTATTTTTGCTTCTGGTTGTTCTGTTGCTACCAAATTAGCAAAAGAGCAGAAAATCACTTCAATCTAAACTGAAACCTTTGTAAAGAGCGAAATTCATCAAGTTTGAAAATACTGTGCAATGCGAGACGACATTCCTGAATCCAATCAAATTTATCAGAATCCCAAATTCCAAGTGCGCTTTCTTTCTCCACTTTCCTTCTAGTAATAAGCTTCTCGATCTATAAACAGAACTGTACCTGAAGCAACTTTATGCATGCATACATTTTAATTTATGGTACCAAATTTGGCAAATCTCAGTGGAGTATATGGCACACTGACCTTGCTAAGATGAAAAATGACCAAACATGTAACAAGGAAATGACCATATACATACATGAATATAGTATGTCACTTGATCTGTACCTATAAGTAAAATCCAACTCCGGCCTCCGTTACTCATTTCTAAATCTAACGAAGAATAAACACAACAACCTCATTCTTTCTTTGCAGCAATAACTGGCGCTGAGCATTCAATGAATGTATTTGAGCATCGATATTTCCAAGCTGCTCATCTAATTCCGATAATTCTCTGCATAGCTCTGATTCGTGTGACCTTGTCGAATCCATCATGTCGAATCCCCTGAAACAATCAATTGAATACCGATAGAACAGTAAAATATTCATGACTTGACTTTCAAATTACTGTTCTTAGCCTCCAATACTGCTAATTCTATTGAAGAATAGATGAGATGGAACCAACCGCTAAATACCATAGGGCTCAAAAAGGAGGACATAAAGTGAATGAATATTTGCAGTACAGAAATGCTTTTGCAGCTAGTTTGTATTTGTGTAGTACGGTAGTTGTGGAGATCGTGCGTAGTACCGGTGTTCGTAATACCGTTTCCGGTCATATATGGTACTCGCATCAGACTCGCATCGTTCTTGCAAATTACGGTAGAACACATTGCCAGTTATGGTATGTGAGAGTGAGTTTATGCATTTGTGATGGAAAATGGAAGAGAGAAGCTGTCAGAAACAATTGAAGTAAATTTTGAATTTGCAATTATGAATCTCAGTTATTGAATTTCCACTGCAATGTAGCAAATGCATTTAGTACTTCGAAGAGTTTATTATTGCTAAGTGAACTTCGGCCTCAAATTAGGCTTACTTCTCAGCTTGCATTGTAGCATAGCAGTGCAAACGATAGCAAATCGCTACCATTTTGGAAAATGTGTAAATCTGAACTGATATTACAGGCTTCTCGGGAGTTTGTATTTTTGAATCAGATTTAAAAAATTTCAAATGAATTGACATCAGCAGATGGAGGGAAGAGTATGTATTGTGAGTTATAAGTCAAAGGTTAAGGGTAGATTAAGACTGCTAGCGACAAAAGTTAATAAAGTTGAATTAACGTCGCGAAACTTTCCGTGACTCAAAAGTTTATGTAAACTGCAGACGTCAGGAATATATACGAACATGATAGAATGAGTGAATTCCTCTTCTTCATCTCAAAAGATTCAGCAATTTATAACTCAAATTAAAATCTGTTGCGTGATACTACCGAATATTTACACGTTTATTCAGCACAAAATGTATTTATAAGCTTTAGATATAATATACATTAGATATAAAAACAAAAGTAAGTACCCTTTACACAGAAAATGCACAAAATATTTTTATATTACAATTTCACCTTTATACAGTTTATTTTTTACTTTATAATTACACAATTAATTTTAACAAACAAACAAATATTATTTTTTACATGAAGCACTTTTTACACAAAAATCTAACTTGCTTCCTCCACTTTCGTGGCTCTTGCTTTTCCACTTTTCCATCCGTCTACTGAAAAGTGCTGAAATGAATTAAAAAACGAGCATTTTTTTTTTAATTTGAGGTCACGTGCAAATGAAAACTGACCTTTGTAAAATAACGAATGCTTAAGGTATATCTAGAAAAGGAAGACGTGCAGGGATTTCCTCTTATATTTTTCATAGAGTTTTCCTGATTTAATCATTTTATAAACTTTTATTATAGAAATATTAAAAAATAAGCGCAACTTCCGCTTAATGCTATTTTTTATCAAATATTTTACGTGTTCATACGTTTTTTGCTAAATGACAAAGTTCACCTTTCATTTGCAACAGAAAATGCGCAAATACTAACCTAATTATTATTATTATTTGCTCTTCTTGACTTCCGCTCCTTTCTCCGCAAAGCGACTTGTTTGCTGTGAGAAGTCCGATGGACCTGAAGAGTCCGTGACTGGCAGAAACCCTTCTGACAGACATCACACTTGAATGGCTTGTCTTTCGAGTGGATGAATCTGAATATGAAAATCAACGTGAGATATATAAGGCAGAACCTTGAAAATTTAACAGATGAAGTCATTAATTTCTTTTAATTCTCAACAAAAGTTTGCGCTAAAACCGCTAAAACTGATAAATAATTTGAAAAAATAATTATTTCTGGCAATAAAATGGAAAAAATAGAATATTCAAAAGTGATAATTTGATATAATAATCAGCCATGCGAGCATCTGATTACAAAATATTGCAGTGTTAGTTCTTTGTGAATAAAAAAGAATAGCAAACATTTACTGATATATTTTACCTTTCAAATATGCAAATATTTTGTATTTCTGCGGGGCAAACAAAAACGTTTTACCTGTGATCGCGCAGATGATCTTGCCGACGAAAGGCTTTCCCGCAT